GGATATGTGCCCTATGTTTCTTTCAATATAAATAGTCCCATGTTTTCTCTGTTTTTCTGCTCTTCTCCTCACCCCATATACTTAGTTTTCCTCATCACCAATCTTTTATACATATGTTCATTATAGCCTTGCTATTTATTAGCATTTTAAATACATTTTTATTAGCTTTTATTGCGTACAATATCTTCATCTTAAAAATTTCTACATAAATTGACTTCTGAATGTACCCCAAAGGATTGTGTTGAACACAAACATCAAGCAGAGCAAGCTCAATTCAGTCTTACCCAACCCTTTCTCTATTAATCCATATTATTTGGTTACTTATTCATGATAGAGGTCAGAGATATCTTGTGGTTGAAACCAGGCTCATAATAGTTCTCCACTGGTAAGCAATCTTGAAGTCAATTGGTGTTACACAATGGGTGAAATCGGTTCTAAGGCAGCCATCTACCATTGGAGTTACCAATATTTGTTGGTTGCTTTATATTCAATTTGAATGGCAACATCAGCAGAAACAGAAACAAGCAGTTTTGCTTGATTTCATATTTCATGTAGTGAAAATTATCTTTCTTTTGGTTTCTCAATTGCAAAAATGGTATACAATAAAATATTGAGAGAAGGGGGGCCTGAATGGATCCAGTTGGTCAGAGAAGATGAGCCACATTTTATAAAAGAATTTCCTGCACTCAAATATCTCAGAATGAGAGAAGATATTTAATTTCATGAGAAGAATTACCAGACAAAAAATTGGAAAACAGGCACAAGTGATATAATTACAACTATAAAATTACAACTATTATGTTTATCATCTGAGCCAGGCGCCAGATTCAGCTTGCCTACTTCCACTTTATTAAGCTCTGAGGGAAGCTCACACACCCTGGAACAAACAACAGGATGTCATCAAGTACTGAGAAAATAGACCTGGCAGAGTACTTAACATGTGGAGGTGATAAATATACTTGTGAAACATGAAAAATGTTTTGATATGGTAGATGAACCCCACCTGGGCACCTTGCCAATGTTGGCCAAAATTGACCCAAGCATGCTTGGCACACACACAAGAGTTCTGGGCACAGAGCCAAGTGCATTTTGGAACATACCCAACCCCCACTTGGCAAATTCCAAAGTTGGGTTGGGTCAGGCCAAAACTCTGCTTGTCCAAAGCCAAGCAAAGGTGCCATACCCACCAAAATTGATGCCCTCTTTATTTGGAAGGTTAAAGAGTGCGTTATAAAAATTAAAAAACCTACATTCATATTTATTCCAATCTACAGATAAAATTGTATTTCTCAAGTTCCTTGGCAGGGGTATGAGCCTTTTCTTGTTGACCTTGATCTTGAGGCCAATAGTAACTACATCTGGATGAAGAAGCGGGAGGGGGAAAAATGTGTAAGTAGAGAGCTGGAGAAATATGTAGAAAGAAAAGAAAGCTGACTGTGTGGGGGGATGTGGTGCTTGGCAGAAGTGTGTTTTGATCAGCCCAGAGCCTGGGTTGGGCCAAGTGGGACTTGGCAATGTGCCAACAACTGTGGCCAGCCAATGATTGCTGATCAAGCCATCTGGGTGCATCCCAAAGCCCCCTGGGCACAAACCCAGGCCCTTTTGACACTACACCATGCCAGATTTGATGTCAAAAAATGTCAGGTGACGTGAAGGGAACACAAGATTTGATTCCAGCACTACTCCCTTATTTTTGATGTATGTACTTAGGTTTTCCTTCCACTTATGAGTCAAGCCCCCTTCTGTTGTGGGCTTGCTCAGGTAGCAGTTGGGCCTGATGATGCACAGTGGATGAGCCACTGGTACACTCAGCCAAATCATAAGTCCTCCTAAGCAGCTGCTTTCTGAGTTTAACTCTGGCCAACCAACTTAATTTGCAAGCAAACATTCTCAAATCAAGTGTAAGTCATTTCTATCTTTCTCTCTACCCTGATTTTATTGTTTGGTTTCAAAGGCTACCTAATCTTTGTCTTCTCTTTGTTATATTCAGGTACTATGACTCACATCATATCTCCTCTCTCTCTGATGTATGTAGTGCTTTCATTCCTCTATGGTCATGCTTAATGATATGATCTATACTACCCAACTGTCTAGCCCCTCAACATTATCCACCTTTGATACTTGATCATCTTCCCCAGTCTTTCAAGGATATCTGCCAGTTTCTCAATGTTTAACCAGATGGACTAGTCTTCACGGAAAAAAAAACTTGATCAACTGCATGCAGTTGACATGCAGCATGCTCCAGACAAGCTCCCATTCAAACTCCACATGTTTGCCTATGTAGAATTTTTCGCACAGTCACTGTGCAGTCTGCACAGTGACTGTGATGCATCAAAGCTTGTTTGAATCAATCTTGGCGCATGGTTGGAGTAACAACAGAAGCTTCCTGGGACTTTCCGAATGTTAACTGCAGGCAGTTGAGCAAGTTTTTTTTGCAGTGCTTCTGATCAGTGTCTCAGCTGCATTGGTCTATACAACAAACACAAAAATACTGCCTTCAAGGCGGCACTATCACAAAGTGAACTCAATGCAACCTCAAGAACCTCTTGATCCCAGTAGTTAACAGGTTTGCTGCATGCCTTCACTGGTTCAGTCAAGAAAACTCACCTCAGACCCCTCAAAGAAAAATCCCCATCATATCACCCCCTCATGCCAACTCAAACCTCACAAATTACCATTACTGTACAACTTTACTCACCCAGAACCCTGGTTGCAGTGCGTAGATAGCTCCCCATCCACCTTGGGAAGATGATGGAGAAGTGGATCATGGATATTGAACAAGTGAAAAGGAAGTTTGTGTACTGTGGGACTCAAACCCCCAACCTCAGCATTCATGAGTGATGCTCTAACCATTGAGCTAATTAACATTGCTATTGTGTTGGTTTTGTGGAGTAAATTGGTTATGTACAGCTTGTGTGTGGTTTTTTGCCTCCAATTCTGTTAGGAAGTCTCACATGGATGTGTTAGCAAATGTGTATCAAGCAGTGNCCCCCCCCTCATGCCAACTCAAACCTCACAAATTACCATTCCCATACAAACTTCCTCACCCAGAAACCTGGTTGCAGACATGGAATTTGGCATGGTGCTATGCCAACTGGAACTTGGATTTCTGCCAAATGGTGCTTGAAACACCATAGTCAAAAATCCCATGGTAAAATGGCACTTGATACATACACCATGGGAAAGAGTGCCATGGGAAACCATCCTGTTCCACACGAGGGTGCAAGGCAGGAACAGTAAAAAAACAAGTCCCCAACGTGATTTGAACACGTGACCTGCCGCTGTGCTACGCAATGTCTCATGCACTACCCAGACATTGGGTGTATAAACTGCAGGCGGCCGCTCTAAACCACTGAGCTATGGAGACCGCTGGATGGGAGAGGGAGAATCAAACAAATATAAACCCCATATTTTGTAAAATTGATACCGAATGACGTCATTTTCAATCAGATCGGCGCATCCAATGATCGGCGGCATCCGGTGGAAATGACCGTCGCGAAGTAGAAATGAGCTTTGGTGACTGTTGACCATCGAAACAACCTGCCGTCTACCAGTTTCTCCAGCCGGGTATTATCCTCTGTCTTGACGGACTTGTTATCTGCATCCCAACCCATCTTTCTTCCCACTTCACTATGCAGCGACCTGGTGAACCTCTACAGTCAATCCCAAAAAGAAGGAAGCCGGTGTTGATTCATCGCCAAAGTCATGAACATCTTGACCCTAGTACTCTGGTCAAGCGAACTTCACAGACCAATCCATCAGCTCAGTTTTTGTCACAAACCTCCCGTGGCTTGGAACATGGCCCAGGTCCATTGGCTCCCTCGGCGAGCTTTAATCCCCACCAGTTGCTCGGTAGTTTTACTAGTATTCAAGAACTTACTGTATCTTGTGTCAGCAAAATGAGTCCTACCCTTCCACCGCAGCCTGAAGAAGCTGGTCGCCTATTGACTACAGATAGCTCTGGGGTAACCCAAAGTGAATGATTTTTTAGTATCAGCCACCTGATTCGGATAAAAAAAGATCTTACGCCGCTTCTTTCTTCACCAGTCTTGATTATCAAGCTCAATGAACACCCTTGGAGTCTAGGCAGAAACCACCGGGCGGATTTGACCATCGACAAACCGACAGTTTCAAACTGGCACTGTAAATTATATGCAGTCAGTAAAATGGCTTCGAGTGTTCAAGTAAAGATATTCATCAAGTTTGTTGACCGCATCATTTTGGAAAATAAAAATGAATATAAAGATTGAGTGCGATACTGGCGAGAGAATAGTCTGCCTTGAAGTACGTTCAGTATCTTCTTCGAGCGTCGGTTCGGACATTGCCTATGCTAATTTTTGAATGTGTTCAGGATCTATCTACCAACGGCATTCGTTACAATAATCGACTGGTTCGCAAGAAGGCAGTGATCCTGAACAACGGAGACCGAGTTGAAATCGCCGGCCAAGGTTTAGTACTCTGCTTACTATCTTGAAGTTGTTGGTTATGAAGATCTGAGATTGGAAAAAAAAATAGTTTTCTCTTACTCGCATTCCTGTCCCCCTGGTAACTACCAGGGCTCTCCCAGCACATCTGCATTTCATTTTAAGCCAACGGTAAGCCGAATTTTGTTCCTTTTTTCAATTGATAGGTCTTTTGAACAAAATCTGCTCGTCCTTTGGTGTCAATCTATATCTGGAACAGTTGGTGGGGAAATATCAGATAACAGAGCGTGTGCTAGGATCGGGGTTTTTCAGCGTGGTTCACCTTGCGATCAATCAAGAAACAGGGGCCCAGTTGGCCTGCAAGATTATCAAGCGACAGACTAGTTATAGACAATCAGCGCGGGAGGTTAGGAAATTTCAGCAGGTTGTTCAACAAGAAGTTAAGCTAAATGCCAGTCTTGATCATGTGAGTTTAGAGAGTCCACACTTTCTTGAGATGCCTTTAAAGCTGAGATATTTTGTCATTGATAAACCAGCCCAACATCAACAAAATTATTGGTCTCAAACAGGCGAAAGAGAAGATGTAAGAGTTCCGATATACACTTCGTTAATTTTTTCTCTTTTTTTTCTCAAGGTTTTTGAATTAGCCTGCATTTCTGACGAAATCCATCGGCATATCAATCCTGAAAACAGCTACATTTTTCTCGAGCTGGTTACTGGAGGAGACCTGTTCGGGTATGTCACTCGGAATAAGAGGCTTGATGAAAATGAAGCGAAATTTATTTCCTACCAGCTAGCTCTGGCTCTTCAGGTATGCATCCGGAAAACTTCAAGTTGCGGACAGTGTGCATCGGTTTCATCTTATAAGGAATGATTTGACATTTTCCCGGTAGTATATGCACGACCAAAAACAGATATCACATCGAGGTAGGCCAATTCAGTGACGCTTTCCTGTCGGAAAACAAGGGTTACTTAAGGACCCTATTTTAGATATTAAACCGGAGAACATTTTGCTGGCTCATCATGGGCCTGATCCCCGGGTTTTGCTCGCAGACTTTGGAGCTGCGCGTTTGGCAGATAAAGCGTTTTGTAGCATGCAGGGAACTATGTCGTATGCGGCTCCGGTAAGCAGACGAACACTCTTCATGATACCAGCTTCATCCAGGTGGGCAAAGCTGAATTCACTCAATAATTTCCCCCCTTTTTCTTTGTTCATGAAGGAAGTCTTGACGGTATATACACGCCCCCAAGGTTTGATAAATCATGTTCGATCTTTATGAGAGAGTGCATCCGCTTATTCTTCGTTCCCACTGATCTATTTCAAGGGTACGATGGAAAGAAGGCGGATATCTGGTCCCTTGGGGTGTGTGTTTACACCATGATCTGGTAAGACTTTCTTTTTCTCCCATCACAATGTCTCATAGCCATTCAAGACCACGCAACCAGCTGTGGAGTTACTTTGTTGAAATGAATGGCTGTTTAGCGGTTTCCATCCATTTGACAACAACGGTAACATGGAGAGTGCGGAAACGGAAAGAAGAGAGATTTGCAAGATGCTCAAGTATAACATTGAACCTACGGAGGTTCAGTTTGTCAAGAGTGTTTTAAAACCTGCCACTAAGGACGAGGCAGTGAGTTGTATGTCTGGCGGAGGTTATCAACAAGGTTTTTTTCAATTTTTTTTTTTTTTTTGAAAGTTGAGAATTCAGTTGATGATGACCAAGAATAATGTACAATGTTTACATTTTGATGGGACAGCTCGAGATGTGTTGAAGAAGATGTTTGAATCGGAGCCGCGGAGACGAATTTGCGCAAGCGAAATTTTGGCGCATGCGTGGATCAGAGAAAGCCACAGTGAGCTGGATGAAAAGTACCAGAAGCGGGTAATTTGTCAGAAATAATCTCAGAGTATCGCGTTGGATTAATCTCTCAGCCTCGCATACAATTATGACGCTGGACTTGAATGTTCATGGGAGCGTCATTGCGTACATCTAACCACGGGGATTAGGCATTTGTAAAGCATGCAATTGTAGTCCAAAAGTTTCGCATGTGTTGAAGGGACATAATAGAGGGAAATTGAGGGCGTCAGAGAATAGGGTCCTCAAAACAGGCATGAAAGGGCAGCTTGCAAGGAGTGAGACTGCGTCCGGCTTACATGTGAAGAGGTCTTTTGACGGCGACCATGATGCCATGGGGATTCAGAACTCCCAATATTTCCAGCGAGCTGTTGGACAAGCCAGGGGTGTCTGGGGCTGTAAATATGGACCACGCCATTTAAGAAGGGTATCATCACATGACCTCACTTATTAATTTTTTTTTCTTTGTGTTTCTTCAGGTCGGAGGACCTTTTTCTTCTTTTTAAGTGCGACGGCATCAAATGAAACGGAAACGAATGCGAGATTTATGTGTAAGCAGTGGAGACACAACCGCAAGCAAGAAAACAAAAAAACACAAAGAAGAAGGAGAAAGGGGAGCACACGAAGACTTCAGAGAGCGAGGGAGGGGAGGAGATTCCGCAGCGGCCCGCGGTGTTGTTCTGCTCGAATGGAAACATCCACCGAGATGTGACGAGTTGTTTCGCGGCGGGGCTCTGCTGCTGCATCAGGACGACCGCAGAGAAGTACAAGGTAGATATGTGTAATGTATATTTCATATAAACGGCGGATAAAATTCAGCACTCCGATTAAAGTTCGCATTGAGGAAAGAAACAACACAAGACAATAGGGAAAGGAGGGTGATGGGATTCATCAAGAGGGAAAAGAGGCCAGGGAGGCTAAGAAGTGTATTTTTAATTATTTTTTTTTGGGAGGGGGAAGAAGATCAGAGATCAGATTTAGCGACGTTTGGGGGTCGATTTGTGGACGGCCTGGGGGCCGATACCTTGCAGCCCGAACTGGATGGCGGCGGCCTCGATAGACTTGTTGATGTCAGGGATCATGGCCTTCGCGGCGGCGGCGTCGGCGATGGCGGCAGCGGCGGCGGAGCCTTGAGGGGGACTGCCGTCGCGGACGAGCGTCGGCGGGGGACCACAGGGCGTCTGCAGCTCCTTCAGGAACTGGGCCGTGTCGCCCTTCTTGCTCGGCTGCGCAATCGAGCCCCGCTCTAATAACGTCTCGAACGACCATTGGTATTGCGCTACTTTATCCGCTAACACTGCTACCTTCGAATCTAACACCCGTAGCGACCAGAAAACCGCTCCCGAATACCACGACCAGGTACTTTTAATAAAGAACCCCTAGTATCAGCAACCCATATCGGAATAGATGTTAAAGAGAGGGCAAGAAAGTTACTTTAGTTGGGCCTCATAGAAAGCTTTCTCGAAGGTGGAGTTCTGGATCCCCGTGCGCAAGGACCATTCGGTGATGACGGTGGTGACGGGGAAGTTGGCATACTTGGTGCCTTTCGTACAGGTCTGATTGAAGATGTCGGCCGAGTTGTTTTGGGCCGGGAAATAGCCAATGTATGGATGGTCCGTGTAGATCAGACTCGGCGGCTGGGTCTTGTGCGACGATGCGAATTCCCACCAATACGCGAATTTATCCCCAGTAACAAATCCCTGCAAGAAAAGACAACAAAAAACCGAGATAAGCTGCTGAGAAGATGAGTTGTTGACGGGGTGAATGAAGACGAACATCGGCGAAGAACATGGCCGGGGCTTTGGGTCCAAGGGTCTGGATGGTCTCGTAGCTCCGGTCGTAAAAGGCGCGCAACATGGCACGCTGTTCGGTGGTGTATGGGCGCGGCTCATTGATCACCTCAATGGCCGAGAAGATGCTGTAGTAGGCCGAGCCGGCAATCCAGTCGACCACCGCTTTGACCAGCTGATCCGACCGTGCCTGTTGCATTGGCTGGAAGAAGTTGGGGCTCGTAGTATCTTCAAGATGATATACATAGAAGTAAGATACGTCAGATCCAAGGGACGGGGAGATTTCAGAACCACGGG